CGGGGGCGGAGTTAATCATATTGGTGCCCTAGCGTTCTTGCCACTTGTCTGCAGCTCTGCAAGTAAGGTTAGGGATCATTTGTGATGATGGCTAAGACGATATTGGAGGATATATTATATTTTCGTTAGGATTATTCCTCTAATTTTAATTTGTTCATGAGGTTCATTCTTTTTTAAGGTTGGTCAAAAAGCTGGTCCAGATGTAACAATTATGGTATAAATATTAACAATCGAAAAAAAGTGGATATAATATGTGCTTTTTTAATTTTACAGAAAAAAAGCAAGAAATAGAGAATAAGGAGGAGAACACGACTTTTAGAAGGACGGGCCTCAAATTGGGTGTTTGGCCTTCTAAAATAGAATCCTTCTTCATTCATAAATTACCATCAATTTATAGAATCCAAGAAATTAAAATAACTAACTCGCACACTAAACCCTCTAGCACATAGACCCACTATTCCACTAACAAAACCCTTTTCTTGGGTGGTTAACAGTTGTACGTTGATATTCCTTTATGAAAGTTACTGTTTCCAATAAAATCAACAAACTAATAATCCATTAACAAGTAGATACGTAACAGGATATGGACTAAACAGAGTAGTATGACAGAACATGATTTGTGTAGCTGACACTATATTAGTCGGGACACGGTTTTGTTGAATTGAGTTGGTCTACATATAATGTCAGAATTTATTCTATCACTTGCAGACAAATGTTAAAAAAATACTGACCTTAAAAATGGGCTATTTAAGATTATGTTTAACTGTTGATCCCTTGTTCAGTTCTTCTTGCATTGATGGAGATCACCTTCAGTAAAAGTAAGTTGGATTAACTGTCTAAACTCATGCAGTTGAATGGTTCATAGAGCTCCTATAGTTGTTAAAAAATGTGAGGTTGTTCCAACAATCTGATCATGCTAATTATTGTTATAGTTGATCTCCTGGGTGGAGCTCCCATACTTTCTCATTCACATATTCCAAGCATGTTTAGGAACTTATCAGGTGGTGTTTGAGAATTCTATTCCTGGCACTATTCAGACTCTGGATTTGACATATTCTCAGATTGATGAATATAGTTAACCGTTATCCCCATTCTTAACCTGCAATACTGGTATACCCGTACAAGGGTGCTGTATCGTGTCAGATATTTAAATTTTTAGTGTAAATTTTGTATCCAATACTGTATCCAGTCGTGTCCTTGCTGTATCAAGGTAATATAGTTCTTAATTGATTTTCCACCAGCAAATGGAGCAGAAAATTACAACATGCCAGGCTTTCAGCTAAAAGGATTTGGTGTTGGCGTAACCCAATCTCCTGGATCTAAATCTGCATGGAGATGATTCAGATTCTCGACTCCACTCCAACTCTGGGTGCTTCATTTTTTTTGTTTAATGTGGAATTGTTTTGGTGCCTATATAGCTGGCAGTAGTCCCAGATGCATCTGTTAGAGATTGAGGCAATATTTTTTTACACATTCTAAGTATGGTCTTGATTGTGGGCTGATGCATATTGTTCTTGATAGAGATTTCTTTTGGCTATTTCTTAATGTTTGTATGTTGCTTTGGTGGATCACCTCAACAAATAGCTTCTGTATTACCAGTTAAGAGGGTTTCCTTCAGAACTTCTCATCTATTGTAGTAATATTCAAGTTTTTTTATGTGCTTACAATTGGAATAGTTTGCATCTTTCATCTGTAAGATCTGTTGTATGAAATCTGTTCTCTGCTTCATTTATTCAAAATCTTCTAGGTTCAATATCCTTTGTTCTCTCCATAAATTAACTCTTATAAATTGATTTAGATAAATGAAATTAACCTCTAGGCCTGTATTGCATGGATTCTCCTAAATGGATGCTGTGTTTGTGTTCGACATGTATTGGAGTCTAACACTCCATCGATTCTTGAGGACACTTCTCTTTAATATTTCCTTGTTATCTCCTAGCTTATTGAGAGATGCATGAATTGTTGATGTACAAAATGAATGCCATCTTTTGCATAAAAAATTATTTAGTAACAAAGGCAACATTTTTTCTTTGTTGGAGTCAGATAATGTTGGAACTCAAAAATATCAACTATTTAAATAGTACCTTTGAAAATAATCAACTATTTTAATAGTAATTCTGGGCAACATTGTGGTGATTCTGGTGAAACTTGTTGCATCCTGTTTTATTCTCTGTTAATTTCATTTTGATTGGTGAAGCCTGTTTTAGGTCTACACTTGTAGTTTTCTTTTTTTAGTTATTTTTGTTGTCATAATCATCTTCTTGAATCTTGATCTAGTATGTCTTGCGTGATTTATATTTTTCTCATAACTATTTTTCAGGATCAGGTGATAGTTCAGTTAGTGGAATGCGTGGTGAAGCATCTGGATTGGGAAATAGTAACACTTTGAACTATGTTACTTCATCCATGGGCACATATTCATCACAGCAATATCAATTGGATGCCCATGCATTGGTTAATAATGGACCAGGCAAGGCATCAGATATTGCTTTCTCTTCTCTCCCAACAATGCGTATCCTTGGTGAGGAATCATTGGTTCAGGAGGGCAATATGCAGGATCCACATTTTTTTCAATCTGATCCTGGGGTTACAATGTATTCTAAATCATGTCCAGAGCCAATATGTCAGGAAGAAGCAAATGAATCAATTATGAATAAAGAAAACCTGCCTTCCCGTAAGCCAGAAGCATACACTGTTATGCAGAGAAAGTATTTTGATTCTCACTGGTCTATTGAGGCTGTTAATGAGGCCATAGAGGTGAATTTTACTGTGATTTTCAAAGTGGTCCTTTCTGTAGTGGATTGCCTGTTTATGTTTACTAACATATAGAGATAGTTGGATGAATCAGTATTACAGTAGACTACAGGCATTTTTCTTGTTTTGCAGAGAGGTGATTTATTTAAAGCATCGTTCCGTGTGAATGCTTATAATCGGATTGAGGTGCAAAGTCTTATCCTCTTTTTTGTGCAACAATTATCACATTGCTGGGTCTCCTTGATAAATCATCTGTTTACTAGTTATTTTACATGCATTCTTTTGTATTGTCAGGCCTACTGCACCATTGATGGCATACCGACAGATGTTCTCATTAGTGGAATTGCAGCTCAAAATAGAGCAGTAAGTTTTGGAGTAATTTTCTCTGTTTGATGCCCCCTTCCCCCAAGAAAATAGTTGGAAGTTTAGTATCCATAGTTATAGTGGCATGGTGAGACTAGGTGATAAGGTACCTCCTTGTTTCCTAAGCATGTAGGTAGATGCCTAAGTGCTGGTTAGGTGGTGTTTTTTATACAAATAAGGCTTACAATTTATTGGATCTGATCCATGTTGACATGTGTATATTATCAATTTATTATTTTTTTGATGGATATATTATCAATTTATTATTATGTTGTACTAAAAATTACTAAAGGCACTCACCATGTAGCATATCTCTAAGAAAATGCCTTGTAGCCTAGGTATCTCTTAGGCACCTACCTAGGCATTGTCTTGATGAATATGCTATTGTCCATTATAAATTGGATTTGGTTTTTCCTGTTTGTATTCCTTTTTCTGCATTTTATATTTCTAGATAATGAGTTATTCTCTACATTTTAATTTTGAGTTTCCCCTTATTTGTATATGAAGCATGAAATCTTTCGTATTGGTTTGGCTAACCTGCCTCCTGACAATGTGCTCTTTTATCTGGCTTAAGATCAGCAGTGCAAGGCAAACTAGAAATGTAGATTTAGAGCATGCTTTTATCATTTTTTGAATTTCTTTTGCAAGTAAGTAATACAGTAACATCTTTAATATGTGTTTACATATGTATTTATGCATGTGTTAATGCCAATAGCATTCACAATCTGAGAATCCTATTCCTTTGAACCCTTTTATTGAAAATCAGACTTGCACCAATTCCACTTCATCATGAAAACTATCATTCCTTGCTACTGTAGGAACAATGCATGCTATATAGTAGAAATTTGTTCAACATGATTCAACTGAGTTAGATTACAAGTGAAGTGGATACTTGTTGTTAGGACTGTTTATTCAAATATATTGTAATCAGGGGTACTTATGTAATTTTTCATATCTTTTAAACACCCTAACATGAGTCAGTCTTGGCGTCACCACTGATATCTTTTTTTTTTTTTGAAGAATCAAGAAAAAAATTTCATTAAAAGAAAAAGATTACATCCTAACACCCTTGGTTGTCTAGATGACACACCAAATACATTCACAAAGCTTTAAAATGAAAAGGGTTCTGCATTACAAGGCTATAAATCAAGGAGATTCCAGAAATTTTCTAACAAATCAGCTTTGGAGACTTGATCAAATTGCCCATTCCTGCTATAAAAAATTCAATGCTCCACCTATTCTCCTCCCTCCTTCCTTCTTTCATACCCCTCACAATCCAGCTAAGAAACCTCAACTTCTTCTCCCTCTCCCTGTCTTCCCACTGATATCTTATGCCAAATATTCTCTCTTTCCCGCCTATTGTTTTTCTTCTCCTTTTCTTCTCTTCGAGTCTTCATGGTATCAGAGGACTGACAGAAGTTTGAAGCTTGTGTGCACCTTTCTTTCTCCTCTCCTCTGTTTTCTCTGGAATCGATTGGAACTTACCAAATCTGAAAGGGAACCGGTTGAGTAAGTGGTTTTTACTATTCTTTTTTTCCTTTTGGTCGTAGAACCAAAAGGGTGATTGTTTTGGGTGTTTTCTCTTTACCTGTGATGGGCTTTTGTGTTCATGGAGAAGTTTTCTCAGTGTTCCTTTGGTTATGTGGTCTGAGATCCATTCGGCTATGTTGTGTCTTGTTTTATGGATCTCACACCAAGTTTCAGACCTGATGGTCTTTGTAGTGGTGTGCTTGATGTTTGGGAAGTCTTCTTTCACCCTGAATATCATTCTTTTGGTAGTATATAGAGGACCAATTGGAGGTGTTTTTTTCTTTCCTTTTTTGGATTGGTGGTGTTTGAAGTTGTTTCTACTTTCTACTACTGGTTCTACCTTCTTCAAAAGGGTTTTGTTTCTTCCAACTATAGTAGTGTCTAGTGTGTGTTAACAGACAAACAAGCCTGGTTTTATTCTCGTATTTATCAGCTTCAAGTAGAGTCATACACTTGTAAATAGGGGGAGTAAAGTCTGTCATCATATTACTCTTCTCTCGCCTCAATGTGAAAGGAGCTTGATCATTATCAAACCGTTGACTGGAAGAATGAGTCAGATGCTAGGACAATACAATGGTTGAAGACTTTGGACCTGTTTCACCAACAACTTTTGGAGAAACTGGTTGGCAATAGCAAGGTGCTCTTCCATGAAGAACAGGGTAGTCCCAAGGTGGTGTCCTCCAGCTGAAGGCTCACTGAAGCTGAACTTCGATGGTAGAAGTTTGGGCAATCCAGGGCCATCTGGAATTTGGGGGGGGGGGTTGAGGAGCGAGCTTGGAGAGGTTCTGTTGTACTTGGGTCCTATGGGACTTGGTGATTCTGTTAGGGCAGAAATGCTAGCTGCTGTACAAGGGGTGCAGTTTGCAAACCAAATGGGGGTACAGCAACTGATTAGTGAGGGGGACTCAAAGGTGGTGGTGGGCTGGTTAATGAAACCTGAGGAGACTGTTTGGTGCTATAAGAACGAAATTAAGAATATTAAATGGCTAACAAGGAATATGTCGGTTTCTATTCAGTGGGTGGGGAGATAGCAAATGCTTTGGCTGATGTGTTAGCCAAGCAAGGGGCAAATAGGGAAGATCTGTTTTGGGCTCAGTTGTGGTTCCATTACTCTTTTCCTAATTTCTTCCTCTCCTAGGGATCTTTTATGAGACTGTAATCCTGAATCAGTTTCTGTCTTTATAAAATTTCATTATTATTCACACACACAAAAAAAAAGAATGAGTCAGATGCAAACGAGTATAGAAAACTTGTAAATCAGCAGCAGGTGTTTACTTTCCTAGCTGGTCTTAATCCTAGTTATGAGCTCATTCGTGTTCGGATATTGAGGAGTAAGGAGCTCCCACCGATTCAAGAAGTGTACTCTCTAGTTCACTTTGAGGAGAGGAGGATAGCCATGACTAGCAGGGGAGTAACAGATTACACTCTTGGCCAAGGGAAGTTGTGGAAACAATAGGAGTGGTGATGTAATGAAGAAGACTGAAGAAGTTGACAAAGATACTTGAGGTGTTCTCATTGTGGTAGGTCTCGACATACCAAAGAGACATGTTAGGATCTTGTTGGCATGTCAAAGAACTTTTAATCCTTCTAGAAGAAGCAACTGCAACAGTTTGGGAAAAAATCTAGTTTAGCTAATGTAGTTTCTGGTGTCTCATCTTAGGAGAGTATGGGGTAGGGGTCTCCGTCAACTTAAAGAGACACCAATCACTCCTACCTCGCATTTGTCCACTTTAGGCAACCAGACTTTTGCATTGCATGTCTCTACTTCATCCTCCAACCCTTGGATCATAGGTTTTGGAGTAACCAACCACATGACTGGTAAGGGTGAGTTTTGGAGATCCCAAGAAAACCCAAAGCATCGAGTAAGTCTAGCATGGTTCATGTCACAAAGGTATTTTCAAGACTGAAAGAAGGTCTGGTAGGAGCAGGTCCAACAAACAAATACAAAAGAAGAGAAGTTAAAGCGAAAAGTTCTTGTGTTGAGAACCCCCAAGAAGAAAAACAACCTTTGCAGGCTGGAGGCAGGAATGAGAAGTTTTTGGCAAAGGAAGGGGATAATCTGGTAGTGTAGCTCTGGAAGGGGGGAAGAATCAAGAAGAAGGAAAATCAGGGGAGAGGATGGTGGAAATCGAGAAGTTAGTGGAGAGACAAGTGGAAGTGGGCAAATCTCCGGGTTTGTTCTTTTTGGGAGGGGAAAGTGTGGTCAGAAGGGCAATAGAACAATTTGAAAAAAACAGAAGAAAAGAGGAATTTAGAAAGAAAATAGTGGGGGAGGGAGGTGAGATTTGGGAGGACGGGGAGGGGAAGGAAGATGGTTGGGTTGAAGAAGAGTGAAGGGGTTTTGGAAGTCTTAAGTAGTTGAGGGGAGGGGGAGGAAGGATTGGAGCGGTTATCTTGGGTTTGAAGGTCTTTCAAGTTGGTAGAAGTTGGGGGTGGTGGTGGCAATTTTATTGCTGTTTTTTTCCTGCCAATGTTCTCAGTGCTGAGAGAAGTTTTTGGTATTTGTCCTTGGGAGGTGGTGTATTTCATTTTGTAATCGGGAAATTTTGTTTCTCTGATTCTGTTGTAGTCTTGGTGGTTTAGGTGCTACCTTATCACCTATCCAGATTGTAATTTTTTTCTTCCTTTTATTGAATTTTTCTTTTTTGCTCATAAAAAAATCACTTTGCTCATGGGATGAAGTTCCTAATGTAATACAAGATTTCCAAAGAATGGTGTTTACTCAATATCATGTGGAAGTCCAGATATTTCACTGAGACAATGCTCGTGCATATTTTAGAGATGATCAGAATCAGTTCTTTTCCTAGCATGGATGGTATATTATTCATAAAAGTACATGTCCAAGATCCTCTCAACAGAATGGCTGAGAGGAGGAACAAACATTACCTTGAAGTGACTTGTGGTTTGGTGTTGCATATGTACCTAAAAGATTTTGGGCTGGTGCGGTGTTGACAGCTGCGTTTCTTATCAATTGTATGCCACACATATTCTCATGTTCCAGGCCCCACATCAGCTTTTGTTTCCCAAGTCTCTATTGTTCTTATTCTTGTTCGTATTTTTTGCAAGGTTCAAAGTATTGATACAATACGCATTTCGGCCGTATCGTATCAGTACTTAGAAACGGACGAAACATATATTTTTTTTAGTTTTTTTTTCAAAGTTTGGTTTTTTAGGAAGCTTAAAACGTGTTTTTTATTATTAAAAAAATTTGGGGTCCGAAACACACCGTATCATTTTCAAAAGATACGATCGTATCGGGCGTATCGTATCGATACTTTGAACCATGATTTTTCGTTGTCAATATTTTGTTTAGGATTTGTCATTTGTCACAATCTCATGGTAATCTTCACCCGCTTACTATTCCTTGTGTTTTTCTTGGATATCCCTTGGCCCAAAAGGGATATAAGTGTTATGATGCCACTTCCTGGTGTACATTCGTTTCTATGGATATGTCCTTTGTTGAGTCTCAAGCTTTCTTTCCTACTCCTTAGGGGGGAGAATAGTAATCTGGATGATAAGCATGTTCTTGTTCTTTATGTTCCAATCCCATCTGTTGTTGCTCCTGTTCCATTTGTTGCTTCTTGTCGTTCTCCTGTTCGTGCCTCTGACCAGTGTGTTTACTCTCGGTTCAGATTTTGTTATTGTCTTCCACATTGTCAGCAGGAGCAACATACATCACCAGGTGAAGATAAACTTGAGATTGCACCTCCTGAACCAACAGGCTCTCAGGAGGCAAAATTGAAGAGTAGTGCATGTCTTGTTGAATCAGGTAATTGATACTCTTTGTAAAAATTGCAAGTGGGATTTGGTTGACCTTCCCAAGGGAAAAAACTATAGGGTGCAAGTCAGTGTTTATAGTTATCATTTTTCTGGTTTTGTGGAAAGGTGTAATGCTAGGTTGGTGGCCAAGGGCTTCTGCCATACATGTGGAGTTGGTTACATGGAGGTGTTTTCTTCAATTGCTAAGATGAGCTCTATCCGTGTACTCTCTCTTGCTGAAGTATTTGGCTACCAATTACATCAATTAGATGTTAAGAATTCTGGAATGGTGATTTCGGGGAGGAAGTGTACATGGTTTAGCCTCTAGGTTTTTTTCTTCAAAAGAAATAGAAGGAAAAGTTTGTCATCACAATAAGTCATTGTATGGTCTGAAACAATCTCCCAAGGCTTGGTTGGTAGGTTCAATAGTGCGGTCAAGCAATTGGGTGTTAGAGATATAGAATTTGAATTGGTAGCTATACTTGTTGTCTATGTGCACGACATTGCTATTACAAGGAATTGGGAGTTAGAGATACAAAATCTGAAGAATTTTTTGGGAGTTCAATTTGAAGTTAAAAGATCTAGGCCCCCTAAATATTTCCTTGGGATATTCATAGAAAAGTATTTCCATGGGGTTGAAGTTGCGAGGTCAGATCAGGGCGTCTTTATTTCCCAAAGGAAGTACATTCTAGATCTCCTACAGGATACTAGTAAACTTGGAGTCAAAGCAACATATACTTTAATTATTGTTAATAATTAACTTGGGGAGGAAGGTGGTGAACCCCTCTCTAACATGAGATAGTTCTAGAGACCTACTCGGAGATTATTATACCTGTCTATGTCCAGACTTGATATAGCTTATGTAGTTGGAGCTTAAACCAGTATATGCATGCTCCTTCTCCTAGAACTATTCATCTTGTTGGAACAAAGCTGCATTCTGAAAATTGTAATTGTAATGGTAAAATTATTTTTATTAAATACAGGTATGCTCAGACTAAATATATATAGAGAAGTGTTATTTTATATCATATATTACCATATATGTACTTAAAACAATATAACTTACCACTTATACAATAGAAGTCTAAGATATAATCGAGTTTGACTTGAAGGTCAAATACAATGGCTCTTTAGCCAACATAAGATAGAGAATAAACTCAATATATAGTCTTAAATAACATAAATAAATTAATTTCTATTAAGGTCTTTAAAACAAGTCACCCTTGACAAAACTAAAGATAAATAAAGCAAAATGACAAAGTAGAGAACTAATTCTTAAGTGAATTGATTTGAATCACAATGAATCATAATGAATCGCATGAATTGTATAAATCATAAGATTTATGAATCGAATCGTAGGATTGAAACAGAAATTGTAAGATTTTTGAAGAAATGGATTCAGACATAAGATTTGAATCACAACTCTTGGGATCTGTGATTCAAATCATGAATTGTAAGATTTTAACAACATTGGAGCAGAGAGAGTTCTTAGGTACTTGAAGAAGTTCCTTGGTAGAGGTATTTTCTTCTCCAAGCATGGTCACTTGAGGGTAGAGGCATTTACTGGTGCTGATTGGGCAGATTCAGTTGATGACATAAGATCTACCACAAGTTATTGTGCATTTGTTGGAGGTAACTTGGTGACTTGGAGAAGTAAGAAGCAAGCCATGATTGCTAGGTCAACTGCAGAGGTTGAGCATAGGGCCATGGCACATGGCTGAAATGTTGTGATCGAAGAATATGCTGATGGAGTTGGGAATTGATGTTCAACATCTAATGTCATTGTATTGTGACAATAAGGCAGTGATTAATATAGTCCACAATCTTGTGATGCATGAGAGGATGAAGCATATTGAAGTTGACAAGCATTTCATTCATGAGAAGATTAATTAGGTGATATTTTCACCAAGGGTGTTGCAAGTGCCCAGCATGTTGACATTTGTACTAAGTTGGCTATGATAGATAATATAAAGCCCAACTTGAGGGAGAGTGTTGTTAGGGCTGTTTATTCTAATATATTGTAATCAGGGGTACTTGTGTATTTTATCATATCTTTTAGACACCCTAGTATATAAGTCAGTCTGTGTGCTACCACTGATACCATTTTTGCCAAACATTCTCTCTTTTCTTCCTGTCATTTTTCTTATCCTTTTCTTCTCTCGAATCTAGAATAATATGTCATTTGTTAGGTTTGAATGGTTCATTTATTATCATATTTACTATTGTTTTTATCCAAAAATATATTATTATTTTCCGTTCTGTCTCTTCAACAAATAGATAGTTGAAAATAAAATTACAGGTAAACAGCTATTACTGTAATTTTAGTGTGTAAATGCTGTTTGCGGGTCTCCATTTTTTTTCTTTTCTAGTGGTTTTTTCTGACATAATATTTGTAAAACAATCCCTCTACAATCAGACTATTTGATTCTGAGCATCCTCTACCCAAAACATGTGCATATAAGGGCAAACTTAATGGCATGATGCATATATCTACACCATTTAGAAGAAAAACGTTGTGTCATGGTACATGGATTTCTATTATGCTATATTGTTTTAACTTATTGACAGTTTAGATGGCATGATGTCATGATCACATGAGGTCTGGTTTCTGATGCTTCATATTTGACTAGAATGCTCAATCAATTAGGTGGATTTCTACATTGCGTGATACATACATAATATTGCTTTCATTTTTGTGCATTATTTGGTAGTGTAACATTTATTATACTATATTTGTGTCATTATGTCCTTATTCACCCATGTTATGATTTTTGCTTTTCTTTAATGGAATGCTATGGAACCACATTGTTCTCATAGGTGGAAGGGGATGTTATAGCAGTTCAGCTGGATCCTTTCACATGTTGGACTAGGCTAAAAGGGTCATCTGGCAATGTTGATGATTCTACTCTGATGGATGGTTGCAATGCATTGCCTGAAGCTGTGGATGTGCTTAGTGATAACTATAAAGGGAAAGATAAGATAGATTTTGAGTTGGAGGACACTTCTAGGGGAAATGGTTTTCTCTGTCCAGACAAGGGGTGGCATCATCAGAATAGAGCTTTTGTAGGTGAAGCTGTCCATCTAGATCTGAGAATTGGACCTAAAAGTTATTGTTATGAGTCAAATGGACATAATTCCCCTGCTTTGGATCCTTCAAATGCAGTTTGTTCTCTAAGTAAGAATGAGCTTTTAAATTCGATAGAAAAGATATGTGCTTTGATTAGTTCTTTCCCATCGAAGCGACCGACAGGTAGGGTGGTAGCTATTTTGGAAAAGTCTCCTCGTCGTGATGCTGTTGTTGGTTTTCTTGGTGTTAAACAGTGGCTTTCTTATAGGGAAGGGTATAAAAAGGAGCCCAAGAAAAACAAGAATTCTTTATCATTCTCTAATAGGGAATACATCCAATTAACACCTACTGATCCAAAATTTCCTAAAATGGCAGTTTCTGTAAAAAGCTTGCCAGATTGCATCAACAAGCGATTGAGGAAGGGTGATGCTACAGTTGAAATGGAGTTGGTGGCTGCAAAAATTGATGATTGGAAGGAGGAAAGTATTCTGCCACAAGCTCATGTCATGCATATTCTTGGACGAGGTGGAGAAATTGAATCAAATATTGCGGCAATTTTGTTTCAATATACAATTACCAGTGCTGAATTTTCAGTTGAATCTTTATCCTGCCTACCTAAAATTCCATGGGAGATTCCCGTAAAGGAATTAGAAAGAAGAAAAGATCTTAGAAATCTTTGCACTTTTACAATTGACCCTTCTACTGCCACTGATCTTGATGATGCTCTATCGGTTGAAAGGTTGTCTGATGACATTTTCAGAGTTGGTGTCCATATTGCTGATGTATCATATTTTGTCTTGCCAGATACATCCTTGGACATAGAAGCTCAAATGCGGTCTACAAGTGTCTACCTTCTGCAACATAAACTACCAATGTTGCCTTCACTGCTTTCAGAGAACTTGGGTTCACTTATTCCTGGTGTAGATAAACTTGCGTTTTCCATTTTTTGGGACATCAGTAATGCTGGGAACATAGTGGATCGCTGGATTGGCCGTACCGTGATTCGTTCCTGTTGTAAGCTCTCATATGCACATGCTCAGGATATCATTGATGGATTGGTAGATGTTGAGAATCCTACCATCTTTAGAAATAGGTTTCCTGAATTGTGTGGGCCGTTTACATGGTGTGATGTCGTCAGGTCTGTTGAGAGCCTCAATAAAATTTCTAAGACACTGAGTGAGAACAGGTTTAAAGATGGGGCTCTTAAATTAGAAAGCTCCAAGCTTGTTTTCTTGTTTGATGAGTGTGGAATACCTTGTGATAGTATGCTTTGTGAACGGAAAGATTCAAACTTTCTTGTGGAGGAGTTCATGCTCCTGGCAAACAGGACAGTTGCAGAGGTCATATCTAGGGCTTTTCCGAGTTGTGCATTGTTGCGTAGGCATCCGGAACCCAATACACGGAAGCTGAGAGATTTTGGGGCTTTTTGTAGAAAGCATGGTTTAGAATTGGATACTTCTTCCTCTGGCCAGCTTCACCTTTCACTGGAAAAGATAAGGGAAAAGCTCCAGGATGATCCCGTATTGTTTGATATTCTCATCTCTTATGCTTCAAAACCAATGCAGTTGGCTAAGTATTTTTGTAGTGGGGACTTGAAAGATAGGGCAAATGAATGGTCTCATTATTCATTGGCAATTCCTCTCTATACACATTTTACTTCACCATTACGTAGATACCCTGATATTGTTGTGCATCGAACATTGGCTGCTGCTATGGAAGCTGAAGATATGTACCTGAGGGGACAAAAGACGCTGCTGAAATCAATTAACGGGGAGACAGTTGCAAGAAGATGTTTCACCAGTACTTATTTTGATAAAGATGCTATTTTGTCCAAAGAAGCTCAGGAAGCATTATCAGCTGCAGCAGCAAAGCACAAAGTTCCTTGTGCAGAGAAGCTTGCAGATGTTGCTGCTTATTGCAACGAGAGAAAGCTGTGTAGCAAGCATGCTGAAGATGCTGGTGATAAACTCTATATGTGGGCTCTGCTGAAGAACAAAGAGGTGTTTCTCCTTATGCTTTGCATCTGGATTTCTTCATTGCATTCTAGTTCCACTATCAGATGCTTGTACAATGATCTATCTGATTTAAGTTTTTTTATCAGTATCTGTTGATTTGCTATCCAGAGTATGTACCTCTATCTTCAAAGCTAACTTTGATTAATCAGTTCATGTGGTAAACAAGAGGAGGCCCTGTTTTTTTTGTGAGTTTGTCAGCTATATTTAGTCATCGAATCTCTGATAGAATTGAAGCAGATTTATTTTATCATTTTAATGAGGTCAATAACTTGTTTTGATTTAATTGCTACTCGCAATCATGAAATATTTCTGCCCTCGAAATTGCTGCAATACAGTCTGGGTGAGATTGACTAAATGTTGGAAGACATGTTCTCCTGTTATCTTGACTGATCATGTCTATTAGCTAGCTCATGATCTGCTATATTAACATGGCTTATTACTGTATATTCTGTCTTATGACAATGCGTTCATTGCCTGCTATAGAAACATAATTTTGATTTGATTAGGTTAATGCCTCTTGATTGCATTAGTTTTTGTTCTCTCAGTGGCATATGCACTCATGCACCATACATGCATCTCCCATACAGAGGCATGGACCAACATATCTCATCTTTTTCATAGACAGTATATCTCAAATGTCAGTATTAAGTTCCTGAAATAATATTACTATGGATTCTATAAATTCGTTCAGAGGGTGATTGAGCATTTGTTTATTAATTGATACTAAAATTTGATATATGGAATTTTGTTTGTTACAAAGTAATTGATTAGGAGTCAAAGAAATTATGCAATTGGTTAAGTTAGAATAGATTGGATTGGACTGTCTTGGAAAATTTGTCACTAATTTCATGCCAACTTTTTGCTGTTGTTTGCAGACTTTATTCTCAGAAGCTAAGGTTTTGGGTCTGGGGTCAAAGTTCATGTCCATTTATATTCATAAACTGGCTGTAAGGAACTGATTATTATTTTGCCTTTTCCTTTACCTTTTCTTTTGTTGTTCCTTACAACTATAATTGTATTATGATTGTAGATTGAGCGACGAATATATTATGATGAAGTTGAGGGTTTGACTGTGGAATGGCTGGAGACAACTTCTGTATTAGTGCTTGATTTGTGTACAAGTAAACGCCCTCAGAAAAGAGGTAGCCCTAGTAAACGCCGGGCACTTGAAGAAGTTGCTTGGGTTACTAGCTTATGTGACCTGAAGCTGGAGCAGGGTGTCTTTGAGAATGGTAACCATGAAGGGGGCACAAACAAGGAAGGAGTTGTTTCTATACCATCCAAGGATTATAGCACTGCTTCTGAACCTGACATTTCAGTTGGTAGTGGAATTAGTCCTGCTGTTTTTCCTCTGACAGTTCGACTGCTTTCAACAATCCCAGTTGTGCTTCATGCAGTTGGGGGAGATGATGGTCCACTTGATATAGGAGCAAGGTTGTACATGAGCTCGTACTTTTAAGTGAACCAAGGTTTTCAGACAAGGCAAACTTGGTGCTGGAAATAGGTTCTTGAGGGAGATGAAGCATATAGAAAGCTCTATCGGACATGGGTAAGCACCTTTTGTAGATATCAAGTTAATGTATAGCTCAAATGGAGTACAATGATATTCCAATGTCAAGATGGTTAGGTATGGTGTGAATAGCTAACACCAAAGATGTGATCTAGTGGACTTTGTAGATAAGCGTAGGAATTTTTTTTTCTGCTGAGGCAGTGTTTCAGTGGCTATCTTTTTAAGCTGCTTTTGGGAATTGGTCGTTTTTTTTCTAGGCCATTTCCATCTTGTTTTTCGCTGACAGTTATTGCGGTTTCTGGCACTTGAAATACCGAGTACCAGAGACATGCGTGTTTTTTGAACTGTAGCCCAATGATTCTTTTTCGTTTTGGGCAATCAGGTTTACTGTTCAGCTTAGTATGTTTTATTTTCCCAGTATGAGTATTTTGGTGGTTTGATTTTGGATTTAATTTTCAATTAGTAAATTGCTTTGATTTTGTTATGAAGTACATTTGCAATGTTAGATCGTATTTGCTCACCAATCAAACGACCTCCAGATTATTGACGCTGCTCTCTAACTAATCCTTGAGAATTAGCTCAAAGGCCATTCAGTAGTTGACAACAATCAATTGCTACAAGGTATGAGGTTGAGAGACTCAAAATACGATGCTCTGAACACTGGGAAATTTCACACACGATTATGGTTTGGTTCAGCTTTGATGTGAAATGGCAGCTGAGTTGGGTGTTATGGGGTGGATAACGTCTATCTGGGTACCACTATCTTCCGAAGAGGTTGGCAGGTTTCAAGTACACTTGGGATTTCGAGCCTGAACTGTTTTAACCTTAAAGCACGCCTATTCACTGCCTGTCAACAGGTTATGTCAATTCATGCATGAAACCACGACTACTTATAGGGCGTATGTTAAAGAGCATTGTTTTTAAAACCGGACCGGATGGTCGGACCGGAAAACCTGACTGGTTCCGTTTTCCTCCAAAACCGCTTTTTCTCCCAAAACTGTTGATTTTGATCAGTAAATCGCTGAATGGGACGGTTAGCCGTTTGAACCGGTAATCGGACCCTTGACCGGTTTGGTCACCGGTTTGTTTTTAAAAACCATGTTATAGAGTATATTCTGCTATGTTAAGTTTTCCATTGAGATGCAATTCACTTTACATGCTCATCTTCCTTGTAATTGTATGACCTTTTAGATTCGATCAAGGTTCAAAGTATTGCCGGTGGCTTCCCGATATGCCCCTACAGGGGGTGTATCGAGGTTCTGACTGGTTCAGGGGGTGAAGGAGTCTTAAACCGGCCCCCCTGAATCGGTTTTGAAAAAAAAAAAGCCTAAGAAACACTATCGATATCGCCCAATGCTCCCCTATCGGTGTATCGGGTGTATCAGTATTTTGAACCTTGATTCCGATTGAATACTCTACTTAGAGGTGACTCGGTCCACCCTGCTTGCCTGTTGGGTCATGCTTGCTTGGCATGAATTCCCCAAATTGGAAAAATACCATAACAAAGTTGAAAAAATCATAACAAAATTGAAAAAATTATAACAAAATTGAAAAAATTACAAATAACTTAAATTTCAAAATTTACAATAAGCTCAAAAATTTTCTTCGATTATAAGTTCCACTTCTTCATTTGGTGATGCATTGGATGTTGTGTCATGTTCTCTTTTATCTTGTACCGTCTTTTATATCCAACCAATTTTTTAAATGTACATTTCCAATGTTTTATTTGTTATTCAACCTTTTCTCTCATTCAACACCTAATTTCTTATACTAAAACAAGATTCAGATGCTACTTTGGACACCAGAGGGTTAGACATCACCCGCCATGGCAGCAAGCACATGATAATTATTTTCTGTGCTTTTTATCAAGCTAAAATATCAAAGTTATTTATTTTCTTAGAGGTTAGGAAATTTAAAAAATTACTTTGTAAATAAAAATTAAGTTCATTGAAAGATGAACTTGAATTAGAGGATAGCACCATGGTTTTTAAAAAGAACCGGTGACCGAATTGGTCAGGGGTCTAGTTACCGGTTCGAACGATCTAAACGTTCGACTCGAATGGCCGGCCCATTCTGACAAAAAAATAAAAAAATTTAAAAATTGGAAAACGGTCAAAACCGTTTGAACGGTTAATCGGACGGTTCAACGGTTTGCTGACCAAAATCAGCAGTTTTGGAGGAAAACGGAACCAGTCAGGTGACCGGTTCCCGGTTTTTCTGGTCCGACCGTCTGGTCCATTCCGGTTTTGAAAACAGTGGATAGCACATGAATTTTATAAATTATTTATTTCATTAGTTTATAAAATGCTAGTTTTGAATATTATTCTTTTTAATAAATAGTTAGAGTTATTAAACATAAACATGTATTAGTTATTTGGATAGCAGATGGACATTAAAGTTAATAAAAGTAATTTTATTTCATTTATTGTTAAAAGATGAAAGATGGCTCAGTGGTTTATGAATGCATTTAAAGCTTGGGTCTTGGTAACTCGGGTTTAAATCATGCCACTTGCATTTTTTTTAATAGATACAATGGGTTATGTGTGTATCGATCGGTATCAATCTATATGATGTGTATCGGCCAATACAAACCGATATGAGCCGATAAAAGTGTGTATGAGTGTATCAACCTAATATGCATGACTTAGGGGATGCAAACCTATTTGTTGCTTATCTTGTATCCTTTGTAACCGGTACCAATGCAATGCATGAGCATATGAGGAATTCCACCTATTTACCCAATAGAGTCGCCAGCTTGTGAGTATTGGGAAATGACTCACTTGAGCTGAATTGGAGTTACCACCCATCAGATTAGGAAATGGAGGTGATGGGACCTTTGGGAATCACATCAAAATTCATTTTGGTTCAATAGTGACTCTAGAGCCCGAGGCACTGGCTAAACTAGTCTAGGTAAGACTTGGATGGGAGAGTGAATAGATTAGGCACCCCTCTCCCGAGTCGAATATGTGGGGCCTAAATGGGGTTCCAAACAAGCATAATCTAAACAGATCAACAATAAAGAAAGCCAACACAGGAGAAAGAAATATTCCTAATATATTAAATACAAATTCTAATTTTTTGAACATGTTATGAACTAATTTTTAAACCATCATGTATAAGATGATAAGCATATCTAACATGAAATAATTTTGCTTCTAAAATAGATTGCAGTTGAGATTTTAAAATACTTTTAGCTAGATCATTACTATTAAAATTATCAAAAATAATTGAAAAAAAATTATTTCCTATATCATAAGTACATATAATGTTTAAAATATTAGCAGTAATACCTGAACTAATATGTGGCCATTCTAATTTTATAAAATTTATTGTTCTATATAAAAGTATGTTATTTTTAAATAAATGAGCAGTTAAACAAATATAGCTAATATTATACTTAGAAGACCAAACATTTGAAATAAAAGCAATTTTAGAAGAAAGATTTGTCAAAGTAGAAATTGATTTTTTTTATATGTTTCAAAAATTTTGACAACTTTTGCTTTATTTATATTCCTAGAAACTTTTCTATATATGCATGATTAATTGATATTTGTAAAAAATTTTCAAATCTAATATCTTCAACAAATATAAATGGTCGTTCAACATGTACTATATATTTAGCTAATGCTTCTCATTTTCTCTTAGGAATAATAAAAATTAAAAAATGATCTAGACCCAACAAATTTTTTAAATATAATATCTTCAACAAAAGTAAATGGTTGATTAATTTTGAGCTTGTTGTATATGTCTTCTTAAATATTTAGTGCCATTACTACTTTGACAACTAAAATTACTTTTGCATTTTCAATAGTTTTTTTAGTGTAAAACATTCCCAGTAATTGCTGGTTTTTTACTTTATGCTTTAAAACTTGAAGGTCTGCTTAGTAGCTATTTATAGCTCTTTGGGGGGGCGCGGGGGGGKGGGGTGGGGTTGGGTGTATTTCTGGCATTTAATCCATTAAAGTGGTTGCAATGGTCACTGGGCCATGGGCCAGACCGGTACAAGCCCTCACAGGCCACGGGCTGGCATGGCCCATGGGCCATGAACCCTTGGCCCAGCCCAGCATAGGAGTTTGGGTCACGCCTAACCTGTTTCATGAGTAGTATAACCCGTTCTACACTTTTGCTTGTAAATGTGGTGTCAATGTTGTGAGACTGAATCCGATGCACTGAATACAGGGAAGATTCGCACATGGTTATGGTTTGGTTTTCTGTTTTGTTGTGAAGATGGTAGCTGAGTTAGGTGTTATGGGGTGGATAACATCTATCTGGTTGTCAATGTGTCATAGTGAAGAGGTTGAAAAGTTTCTAAGTAATCTTTGGATTACGGGCCTTATCTCATACCTGTGTAAAACCTGTTAAATGCCAATGACATCCTGTATGACGTATCCACTGCCGGATCCTTTCATGCATATGCGTGTAATTGGAGCTCTTCAATACTTGATCATTATTTGTCCAGACTTTTATCTTTAGGCTGTGTTTGGTTTGAAGGAAAAAGTAGGGAAAGAAACGGAAATGTAGGGAAACTTTTAAAAGGTTTGTAGAGGTTTTCTTACATTTTTCTTCCTTTTTCTACCTTTTCCTTTAAATCAAACATGGCCTTATTATTAACCAGGTCTGTCAATTCATGCATGAAACCACCGACTGTTCACTAGGCCTGTGTTAAAGAGTATATTCCCCTATGTTAAGTTTTCCATTGATTATGGATTTCATTTCACATGCACATCTTCCTTATGATTGTACTACTTTAAAGTAGGGGTGTCAATTGGATTGGATTTGGGCCAATCTGATCCAGTCCAATGTGAATCCATTTTAAATAGATCAGGTTCAATCCAATCCAATGAATATTTTGGACCAATTTGGATCGGTCTAATTTAATCTTTGGACCATCCAACATGTTCAAATTCATTTTGATTTAGATTGGTTTCAACCCAAACCTGGTCCATTGACATATATATTCTTATCTTATATCAGTGGACCAGATATTGGCTTAATCCAACCCAATCTAATATAAATTTGTTATTGTCGGACCAGGTCCAATCCAATCTAATAAATATTTTGGACCAGATTGGTTCAATCCAATATGTCTTGATCTGTCCAAATTGTTTTGGATTGGACGCCATTGACACCTTTACTTTAAAAGATGTATTTGACATTCCTTATTTTAAGGATTTATCTCCTTTTTGTAATTAAAAAAAAAAACATTGGGATAAGTAGACTGTACTCCCCCTCAGAAATCTGAAATTACAGCCACATCCTAATCTACTAGTAGCCTCCCCGTATAAATCACATCCTGCCAGTGGATTTGGCATCAATCCACGGTCAGGAGTCATTCCACCCCTAGGGTGGAGCTAAGATTTCTAGGGGTGGATTGAACAGTTAAAACCCCTTAAAAATTTAGTGTTCATAGAGGCGTTTTAACTATAAAAAGGAAATAAGTCCTTAAAATAAA